ATAGCTTCATTTATTTATTTAATAATAGTAAAATAATTCCGAAATTGAAATTTTAATTAATATTTCGTTTAACAATAATTTTTGTGGCATTTTTGTAAACTAAAAAAAAAATAAGTATAAAAGATGCATTTTTTCTGGGGTTCAGGGTTATTCTACGAATTCGTAAATATGCCCATTGTTATTTTTTCGTCGAGCTACCCCAGTGTAAAAAAAAGAAGTTTCTACGATGAATAGAAGCCGAGATATTGCAAAATTTTACAGAGCGCATCAATTTGATCTTGCGAAAAATTCAAGTCTTAATGTTTATAAACAATTACGCCACGATTTAAAAAAAATTCTTATCTTGGTTCCTGTTGGTCGTACAGGGTGCTTTTTTTACATTTGAATTTTTGCCAGCTATCCATTGAATCTATTTTCGGTGAGGTAGCATAAATAGCAACAATTTTATTCAAATTGTTTATAAGCGACAAACGCACGGTTTTTTAATACACAATTTAAGAATGTTAATGTCAAAAAACGGTGATATTTTTTAATGGGTCCCTTAATTACATCTTTAAGATTACAATGACGCTTTCAGAATCATGTTTGGTTGAAAATTAACGCCTGTACAGAGGCTTAAAGTTCATAACTTTTGGAGCCTCCGTTATAAACAAATTGAATTGTGCGAAAACTATTGCACCTACAGCGCCCACTTTTGGCACACTTTTAAAGTATAACAAAACCCTCAACTTGTCATAGGTTTTATAAAATTTTAACAATAAATGAGATAGTTATAAACAAATTAAAAAATGGGCACTTTTCTTGTTTTTTGCAATAACTTTTTTGTTTATTAACCGATTTTAATTTAACAAATCTCATTTTTTACATTCCCTACAAATTGTCTGAGAGTCACTTTTCGCTAAAATTGATGGTTTTCCCTGCAAAGTAAAAAAACTGTTTCCCTCAGGTATTTGTTTAAATAGAAAAGTTAGCTATTAAAATTTTTTGACTCACGAGATGAGAGATGTCTTGTATTTTGTTCCTTTAGACAATTTTACAATAATCTCGCGGATAGGAATTTTCTCGAGTAAAAATTTTATTTGCCTGGCCTAATATGCTTTGAGGAAAAATTATTAAATTCATTACATATTTGATCATTTCCCTAATAAATTCAACATATGGTATGGATTTTTGTGTAAAAAAACAAAATAAAAGTAATATTTGATGCATATTAAATTAATTATTTATTGGAAAAACAGTTGTACATAATTTATACATGATTCGTTACTAATAATAAGTATACTTTTAAATTAAATATAAATTATAAACCCAGGTATTTTTTCATTTTTTTACAAAAAAAAATCAATGTCACTAGTTTTACGTTCTCTCAAGTGTAAAAAAATACCTTATTCATTTATTATTGTTTAAATTATTATCGTATTGTAAGATTATTCTGTACATCATTTACGAATAATAGATACTTGAAATCATTTAAATTAATATCAGATGTCATACTTCTTTGAAGAATTATTTTTCCTTATTACGATAATATAAATTACTTTCTTAATAAGAACGAGTTATTTATTTTAAACTAAAATTTGTACAACATTTTGTACAGATTTGTGTTTCAAATAACTTTTTTCTTTAAAATAATTTAATAAATTAAAGTTTATCTGGTATAAATATTCAAAAATTATACTTTATCACATGTTTGAAGGAACTGCAGTCAAATTGGGAAATGAGTTATTATTAAAATAGCTACAAACAATATAATATCCATGAATATACATTAAATAAATTTACTAACTACTTAGAATCGTTTGGATTTCTTTTAAACTCTTTCCTTTGGTCTCAATTACATACAAGAAGCTGAACGGGATGGCAACCACGCAACAACTGGCGAATATCCAAAACGAAGGACCCATTCCGATAGAGTCTGAGATGGACTGAAAATATTTTGTTATTAAAAAACCGAGAAACCAACAAAATGCTGAAGTTACTGCCGAGGCACTAGACTTGACGTTAGCAGGGAACAATTCACCCATCATTGCCCACGGCAGTGGTCCAAACGCTGAATTGTATGTGATGATGTACCCTATAAGGCACAGTATAGGTAGAAACGATATAGAAGACACGTCCTTGTTGTCGTCCTTTAAATAACTGTAAAGCCCTAAAGGAAACTCCGATATTGCCATACCTACTGCGGAAATCAGAAGCAGAATTTTTCTACCAAGTCTGTCGACAACCAGTGGTGTCACGAAACTAGTTATAAACTGAGTACAACCTATAATAATCGAGCAGATCTCGGGTTCCAAAGTTGTGCCAGCCTGCTCGAATAAAATTTGGGCGAAAAACAGAACAACGTTTATACCCGAAAATTGCTGGAAAGCTATTAGACCCACCGAAATGAAAAAGGCCTTGGTTAACCCCTTGGACCTGAAAATGTCGAAGAAGTTTGCATGTCCATCTTCCTTTATCTTAGCATGCATTTCATTCAGTTCTTCTTCGATGACCTCATTTCCGCCCGACCTGATTTTGTGTAAGGCAGTTTTAGCATCAGCATTTCTTTCTTTGATGGCGTAGAAGTGAGGACTTTCTGGAGCTAACAAGAAAAACAGCACCAAGAATATGACGGGGAATACAGCGAGGATCAAGTTGAACACCAAGATGGAGACGTAAGGGCCGACGGCATAGCTAAATAACAATCCCGTGCAAAGGAAGCAGTTCATGGACGAACCGAGCGCTCCTCTATTGGAGTCTTGAGCTATCTCCCCCACGTACATGGGAATCACGGTGAAGACGCCTCCCACGGACGTTCCGATTAGGAATCGGGCGGCGTAGTATATCCAGGGAGCTTTTCCGAAAGCTAATGCGAGGTAGCTCAGCAGGAAGGGTACACCGCATATCATTAAGCTGAGTTTCCTTCCGATCCAATCTGCTAAGAAGCCATAGACGAAGGGCCCGAATACCGCCCCGAGCGGTAGGAGAGATGAGACCCATGAGGCTTCGTCTTCTGATAAAGGTGAGCTGAACGGAGTGTCGGTCTCATTTTTCAATTTTGATAAAATCGGTGATGTCCATGTCAATGATGTGGCGGCTATGAAACTTATTACGTTTGCTGAAAATAAATTCGTGGACTTAGTGATTTATTACTATTATCACATAAATCTTGCTTTTATCGAAGTTATGTAATAGTTTCAGTTTTATATTATGTACCGCTTTCTATTATTATTATTAAATGATTCAGGTGTTTTATCAATTAAAAAATAACATAATATTTAGTAGGACTTTGTAATATAAAAGAGAGCTAAAACTAATACATAGCTTCATTTTTTAAGATATAGAATGAATGTATCCAAAATTCTGAATACAATGGTTAACACTTTTTTTTGGAATAACCTCATATTTAGTCACCAACTTTTTTGTTTGGCGACATTGACTTTTCCTTTGAAAAAATATATATTCTATCCTTTAACTCTTTGGTTTCATGCTTTCTTTTCTGTACATCTACCTTCTGTTTGTACAGTATTCATAAAAATGATACAGTTACATATTTTTATGATGTATTCATTAGCTGTAATATACAGGGTGTCCCTGAAAAGGATGGACAACGCTTGAACACAGGTTCCTTGGATGAAAATAAGACTATTTAGTCTAACTTCCTTTTAAATATAGAACATTAGTTTTTTTTCAAATAATTTGAAAACTGTTATTCTTAGAAACTTCAAATTTGATACACATATTTTTTTTAATATAAGAGCAATGTAAATAAAGAATTTGGTGATTCTACTGCCTGTGCGCCACTGGCTATCCCGTAACTTTTTTGTGCGTAAGCCAGTGACGACAGAATTTATGTTTTTAAAAATAAGCATTATTTTAGAAGATGTTTTGCCTCTTACAAAATTTTAATAGCGCTCATGGATTTCTAGTAAAATTGGCATATTTTCTTTCTTTCTTTACTATGGCTGCAATTTATACTTTTGATGAACAAACTGATATTTTACTAGTTTTGGGTTATTGTGAAGGAAATTGTTGTGCTAATGTTCGAACATAATGCTGAAAGATTTCCTAATGGAAGAATTCCAAATCACAAAACATTTGCTATTGTGGAGAGACGCCTTCGGGAAACAGGACGTTTTTTACCTGTAACATTAAATCGTGGACAACGTACGGCTAGAACTATTCCGCTGGAGGAACAAATCTTGGAAAGGGTCCAAGAAATTTCGCAAGTAAGTACAATGCGTTTAGCGGGAGAAGTTGGCTTTAAAAAAGATCCGTTAATAGAGTATTAAAAGACCAGGTACTACATCCATTCCACTTTCAATCAGTTCAAGAACTTTTACCTACCAAGAGATCCTCCATCACGTCTTGCTTTCAGGTAATGTATTCAGGAACTCAGAAATAAAGACGATAATATCCACAAGAAAATCCTGTTTACAGACGAAATCGCTTTTACTAAAAGGAGTATTTTTAATTCACATAATGAACATGTTTATTATGATGAAACTCCACATGGAATCAGTAAACGACGGTTGCAACATGAATTTAAGATTAATGTTTGGGCTGGTATTATCGGTAGTATTTTAATTGGTCCTGTTAGGTACGTTACCTGCTACATTGAACGCAGGAAATTATTTAGAATTTCTCCAAACGAGGTTACCCTATCTACCTGAAGAGTTACCGATAACACTACGAATTAATATGATTTTCCCTGCCCATTTTGCCTTATCGGCAAGGCAATACTTAGATGAGCACTATCCTAACAGGTGGATAGGTAGAGGAAATAATGCCCTTCTAAATGGCTACCTCGATCCCCGGACCTAAACCCATGTAATTATTTCCTTTGGGGAGCATTGAGGACCACAGTTTATAGCTTTTCAGTAAATACGGAAAACGAATTATGGGAAAGAATACAAAATGAAATTAATGTTACGAGAGGTAATGCACAATTATTGGATAAAATTCTTTTTAATTCCTGAGAAGAATTAACGCCTGCGTTCAAGAAGAATGAAGTCACTTACGGTAATATTATTTTAATGTGATTACAAATATCAATTGAGATTTATTTAAAATGTTAATGTTGACTTTCTTATATTATTAGTTTGTTTACTTAAAATACTAGTGTTGATTTATTTTATTGATTTATAATACTAAGACTAAAAATGTGTAGTTAATTTAGTTTTTTTTTATGTGAAGTTTGTTTCATTATTATTCCCTGCTTTGAGGCTGCAGCTATAAATGATTTTTTGATAATCAGAATTTTTGCATATATTTACTGTATAAAAATTTTTATTTTATTGATTTATAATACTAAGACTAAAAATGTGTAGTTAATTTAGTTTTTTTATGTGAAGTTTTTTTCATTATTATTCCCTGCTTTGAAGCTGCAGCTATAAATAATTTTTTGATAATCAGAATATTTGCATATATTTACTGTATAAAAATTGCCAATTTTATTCGAAATCCATAAACGTTATCAAAATTTTGTAAGTGGCAGAAAAATCTTCTAAAATAGTGCTTATTTTTAAATATATAAATTCTGTCGTCACTGGCGTACACCTAAAAAAATGTTACGGGATAGCCAGTGGCGTACAGGGACTAGAAAGAGAACATCCTGTATATATATTCTCACCAAATTGTTTATTTACATTGCCCTTATAGAAAAAAATATGTGCACCAAATTTGAAGTTTCTAAGAAAAATAGTTTTCAAGTTATTTGAAAAAAATTAGGTTATCTATTCTACAGGGTGTNGTAATTTGAACAAAAAAATTTTTTTGTTTAAATTTAATCTAATTTTGATAAAAAAATAATAATAAAAAATTAAATTAAATAAAAATTAATCCTTTAAATGGAAAAGAGAGGAAAGGAAAATTAATATTATTATTTTTTGTTTTGTTGTTGTTTTGTTAGATATTGCAAAAAAATGATTTCCATTCCTCCCTCTTCAATGGGTCCCTGTGCCCTTAGGAAGCATTTCCGGACCCATGTTCATATGAACTTTTTTTACTTAGTTTCGATCATAGAATCGGCCTGTTCAGGGTTGGCAGCTAATTATGAGACACCCTGTATATTTAAGTTATAGACGTGCAGTTTTGTATAGGTATAAGCAGTGACTATAATATAAAGCTTTTTTTCGCGACTGAATATTAGTGAATATCTGAATTGTAGTTACTATTTCTATCTCTTTTGATCTTAGTTGTCATGTTGCAGTTTAAATCTCTTCACTCACTCATACTACACATATTACAACATACGACTTCACTCGCGAAAAAAAGCCTATAGTCACTGGTATAAGTAAGTTAGGCTAAATAGTCTTATTCTCATCCAAGGAATCTATGGTCAAGCGTTGCCCTTCCTTTTCAGGGACACTCTACATTTTCAATTCTAGTAACTTAACCGGCTGTGTTTCTGAGAATGATCTGTACAATTTTGTCATCGAAATATTATATGGGACGAGTGGTAGAGGCCATATTACAAAAATTTGACAATGTGAATTATAAACAATTCTTATTTATTTTTATTTTCGTTTTATCATCATAAGTTGATGTTATATCTTAGGAATATAAATTTTATGGTAAAGACAGCAATTTTAAAATATAAAATATTGCTTAATCTTCTAAAAAAAATCTGAATTTATAATTGCGCGAGTTTGGCAAAGTCTCACGTGCTTCTAATGGCCTATCACACTCATGTGTGATATACGACGTGTTCAACAGTTGCAGTTTTTTAATAAAAAATAGACTTGTAGGGATATTTTAAAAACATGAAAAACATGATTGTCAACTTCGATCGTCCCGTCGTGGGTAGTTGTAGATAAATAAAAAAAATTTCTGATTTTCGTTTTGCTAAAGCTACATCTTCGGAATTATCATGACCAAAATCTAAAAAAATACTACAAGGAATATGCGTTATTTAAGAGACAAACAGTGCAGTATAAGCAAACTCGAAAGGAGTTTCCATTTTTACAAAAGGTTGGCTATCACATTATTGTCGATATATTGCAATCTGTGGTGCGTTATTCATTCACGATGATATACATACGCCATCGAGTATATGGGCACATTATTCAAAATGAAAATCTACGTTGAACGTCTGCGAAAATGAAGATATTAGCGATTATTACAATTTGACAGTTTTTATAAAATAGGAGCACGTTGGATACACAGCCAAAAAATCGTCGGTATTTTCAAGAGAAACAATATTCTTGATATAAATACTAATAAATATTTAGTTAATTTAGTAACTCAAAATCAACCTGTAAAACTCCAAAAAAAAAAATGAAATTTAAGTTAAAGGTATTAGTTAAATCAAAGTTATAGAATTTAATCCATATCTGATGGTATAGCAAGAAAGATGATTATTTAAAATTCTTTTAATTACCTGTGAAAGCAGCTACGTAGATATAATTCATATTATCAAATATGTCACTGTTCAGAATACGTAACAAATTTCACCGTTCAGAATACGTAACGAATTTTTACTAACTGCACAACAGTTTTCCACTTACTATCAGAAGGTACATCTAATATGTAATCTTATCGATACCCTCAAATATCTCACCATATGGAATTTAATTTGAATCTGAAAACATTGAATATATTAGATAGCAGAAGTGCTTTTAAGCAATAAATATACAAACGAACTTCACCTTATCTGAACCCATTTCAACACTTTCAACGAGAAAACATATCTGGCCCGATGACTTAACGATTACGCAGGCCTGCAAAAAAGCTTTTTAAGTCTTTATAGATGATTTGTACAGATTTTGGGGTGGTAAATCCGAATTTGAACTCTGTTTATTTGTATCACCCTCAGTTCAGTTAGATATGACACAGTATTCTAAATATGCAATAAAAATAAAAAGTAATCAATTTTTAACGTGCACACAAAACTTTATTTGAACATAGAAGTATATTTTATATTTTCAATACTGGATTCTACAAAGGATTTATGTGTCCATTGGTTTATATTTTCTTCGCCTCTTTTCTTTAATGTTCCTGATGTGACTTTTTCTCTTATGCGCTGTTTGCTGACTCTCTCGGTGAAGTGACCAACAGTAAACTTCCATCATGATTGTGTTCCACGTCCTTGATAGCGTTTTTCCATATTTTAAACTGTGACGAATGATGGGTGATATGGCGTTTTTAATGTTATTTTTGGAATCAGAATACTCAAAACTATAAGAATAAGGTAAACACAGCTAAGAAGTTTTTTGGTCGTTGGCCTGTGTTATTTATTAAAATCATAATAACATGTGAAAAGTTCCCTTTTTTGTACGTAAGTTTTAATATTGGAAATGTTGAAGGAATCGTTATAGTTCAGGGAACGAAGAGAAAAATAGAGTAAAACCTCCAAATACCTTCGCATAGCGATTTCTATGAAAATTTGGAATTAAGCTTAGGGTAAATCTAGAAAAGACGACGCATCAGATGAGATGACGCACTGCTCGTTCTGGCACAATCATTGTTCATAGCGTATATTTGGCAACACCGGTAATTCTTATTATGTCGTCACATATGTACGTATCAAATACAGTTATTTTTTTTTATTTGAGTAGTGTTAGTGACGGTATTTTGTTAAATTTATTGAGGTTACACTAAATATTTTTACATCCTTTAGAGTCAGAAAATATACAGCTAGGATAGTTTTCAAGGATTATGTTGTAGATAATGAGTAATTAAGTAGTTCTAACCTCAATTTCACACATTTCCTCTAATGAATTTAGTTAAAAATTGCTGCGTCAACTCATCTTATACAGTAAAGTGAGTTGACGCACGTATGCATAAGGAGAGTAGGCGCAATAATAGAAAAATCGTTTAAAATTTTATTTCGTCAGAAATGTTATTAATTTATCATTTATAGCATACCAACGAAATATAAAAGAAATGGAAACGTTAGAAGAGGAGAGGAGACAATAGAACAGTTGTCTAAAGCAATCAGTGCTATCGACAGAGATGAAATGGGTATTCCTGAGGCAGGTCGCGAATTCGGTAGCCCCGAATGCACTTTGTGACGCCGAAGGAAATATGAAGTCCTCAAACTAAACCGTTTGGACCTTCAAGTACACTAGAAGCCCACAGTATGATAAATTAGTAAAGTAAAAGTTGAAAACACATAGATTTGTACCTACGAGATCCTTTATGCGCTTTATGGCTTTTGAGTTAGCAGAAAAACTTATCCTATAGTGTTTATTAGATCACTGAGTTTCTTAAAAATCACCTTTTATTATACAAATAAAAACAATTTTATACATTTAAAGTTGATAAGTAGAATTATTAAAAGATTAAAGGGAAAACGTGAAAGTATTCTATGAATATAGTTGTGGATAACCAAAATATTGATATGCTCCGAAAATTGAAGCGGCAAGGTTCCGTTGGTTTGTTTACGGAAAATTTCGACAGCCAAAAGTACCTACTATAAAACCGAATACTTTTTAACTCGTTATTTTTTAGATTTTTGAGGTTAAAGGTTGAAAAACATGATCTTAGCCCTCAACTACAAACTTGTAGCAGCGACATCTCTGTTAGTTTTTATCTTACACAAATAAGAAAAACACAAAATATTCTGTGAAAAAAAATCTAAACTTTTGTACTCTTGAATATTTTCCGCATGTTTTTTACTTTTATAGTTGTTTTTTAAAATGTTATTTTTTTGGAATTAAAAGTTTTTTCAATAAAAAAAAAATATGCATTCTAAACAGCTTAAACTTGTATAATATATTGTTAGCACATAAAAAATGTAAATTGTGGAAGGATTACCTTTAATTTTAAATCTCGTGAAAAATTCAGCAGTTTTTTTACTGATTTTTTTCCGAAATGCGAATTAACAGTTTTATTTCGATCATAACTCTGTTAATTTTTATGCTAATGATTTAAAATCAAGTTCATTTTAAAGATTTTTTAAAGTACTTTAAAAAATGTTCTATACATTTTTCTTGAAAAATATATTTTTTAGGTATTTTACGTTAAATGTTTCCAATTTAGTTTCTGGTGGACATGAAATTATCTTCAACCAGCCGTATCTTAGCACCTATTGCACCTGCATAAATGAAAAAGAACTCAATTGTTTTCTTTTTCTATAAACTTCATTTTCTTTGTAATGTTTTTTTTTCATAGAACGTCTATTTTCCGAGTTATTCGAGAATAACTACTGGAAAACGTCTTACTTTTAATAAATAATGTACATTTTCAATCACCAGTAACTCAGAAAATATTGACTTACCGAAAAATGTTCATAAAATACTTTTTGCTTAAAATTAATTGCTTTCGATTCCTGGGGTTATTTTGAATATTTTATTTTTCACTCACTGGGCAAAAGCGCTCATCAGCACTATATAACTTTTGTTTCTTGAGCTATTTTCTACTTACAATTCAAGTTTCACATGAATCGGTTCTATCCGAAAGAATTCGGAGGGGAAACCCTTGGTTCCCTGGACTATTAGTGTAATGCTAGCTGTTAGGAAATACTCGTATATGTACAGGGGAATGTGTAACAAACATTCGGTAGCGCTCACTGGGCGCAGAAGTGGTCCGATCGGATGGATTTGCTATCGTTGTGTAGGTCGAACCTTTCTATTTCGAATAGAAGTGGTCCGAGCATTCGACGATTGCAGGGGTGGCAATGAAGAAGAAAATGGTGAACCTCTACAGATTGGCTATTTTTATAAGACTATGTCGATGTTTAAGTTTACTATAAGTGATCTTGTATGGTTTTTAAAGGCAAATATAGGAAATACTGTCTAGGTAGAGCACCAAAACAATGAGGGTGTCAAGTTGCCCCGACTGCAAAAAAAATTCTATACAGGGTGTATCTTAAGTCTGTCATAAATTAAAGGGCCATTGGGCCATTTTAGGATGATTGAAAAATATCACATTTTTTCAATTATCTCTGAAATTGTTTAATATAGATTGGCGAAACTTGGGGAAATGATGTAACTAATTAAAGGTATATTTCTATATAAATCTGTCAACCAATGGCGGAAATTCATAGGAGCTTTGTCATTAAAACCCTCAGAAAAACTACACCACTGGATTTCCGGAAAAATTAATAGACGCCTTTAATTTACCGGCATGTTTTTAATAAAAAAAGGTTTATTGCATTTTCTTCACACAATAAATCATTTTCGAGTTATATTTTTTTTTGTTCATATTTAATTTTAAAATAATTTCTAAAAGGTATTTGATGACCAGTAGCAGCAAGTAAGCAAAATGAAAATGTCCACCATTGGCAGCAACACAAGCGACGAGCCTTCACCGTTCCCTAAGTGTCGTCAATCTACATCAAACAAAACTTCAATGCCCTGTAATATTGGAAACCAGTAACTTTAGGGCTTTTGGGCCTAAAATGACCCAAGGAATCACCCCATAGGACATACACCCTGTATAATTTTTTTTTCGGCACTCCTATACCTATACTGCATATCTTACAATAGAAGTAAAATGGTTTATATATTTTTACAGGAACTTTTTTTAAATGCATGCTATAGCGTTTGTAAAAATACATAAGTAAGTTTTAGTGGTAATATGTTGCAACTTATCCATTTCCATTATGTCAGAAATTAGCTAAAATATATTTTCTACAATATCTTAAAAGTCTTATTCATATTGTAAATATAAACACAAAACGACATATTATTAATTAAAGCAGAGTTATTCAGATCCCATTAACTTCATAAATTAAAGTTTTAGTTTATGTAAAAAAGGTAGACTTTTTCTTGGGTCAATTTAGAGTCACCGTATACTGATATACAATTTAATAAGAATCGAAATTTCATTTGTATCAAAACATTTTCAATTGCAATATAAAAAATCAACATTTTATGTTATTTTATTACATCAAATAGAACTAAGAAAAATATTTATATTAAACAATTTTAGGTATATTAAAATATGTCAAAATATAAGTATAATATATTTTCATTTGTGTGCATTCAGTGAATTTTACTTAAGAGTGAAAAGTGGAGCCCGTTGTACCTATATTATTTTTGATTTTATATTAATTACAAAAGGAACCTAGCAAATTTTCTAGATAGATAACTAAAGTTATCGGTTAACAAACTTATTCAATAAATGATTACAGTGTACCACTTACAGAATTCTAGTAACCGGAACAGAAATAGTAATACATAATTAGGTATGCTTACTTCTCACAAATGTTTAATCTAAAATAAATATGTTTTTACTTTTTACAGAAAAAGCGTCTGCAAAATGTAACAGATAAATTGTGGGTGTTCAAATATTTTAATATCAGTTTACGTGGACATTCCATGACGTTGTGTAATAGATATAATAAGAACTGATAAAACTCATGTTTCAACTACTGATTAAAAAAATAATAATTTGTTTCTAATTTTTTTAAACCTCTTACTTACCTTTTTATTTTTATTTACTTTCCGAACCGAAATTATCATATTATATTTATACAGGGTGAGTCATTAATAATAATACACAGCTTAATGGCAGATTGTTAACGTCAAAATATAGCGATTGAGCCAAACATGCCTTATTCAATTGTTGCTCATTTTCGTTCTACAAGGTGTTAAAGTTGAAAAAATATTTTTAGTTATCTATATTTTAAGTATATATGGACCGATTGTTTTGAAAATTTGTAGTTTTACGTTTTTTGAGGTGGCAAAAACTCAACTATTTTCGAGATACAGACATTTTAAGATTTTGAGATTTGACGGGAATTAAATTAGAAAATAATTTTTTCCAAAGTTGTAGACATGGACATAATAAATTGACAGCTGTCACTACAATACCATATTGTTTTCTACTCAATTTGATTAAGAAGTAGTTTTTTCCTTTTTCGTTATTTTTTAGAGAAGAGAATATCTTAATAATAGGCTAAGAAAGTGGATTGAAGTTGCTGGTAGTTAATAATTTGTTAAGATATGCATAATAAAATCTTTAATTGCTATAATGTTTGTCTTAATTCATAATTCAGGCTTGGTATCTTAAGACCAGCTAATTTTCTAATTTAAATCCCGCCGAATTTCAAAAACTTAAAACGTCTGTATCTCAAAAACGGTTTAGTTTATCGATTTGTAACTAGTGCACCTTTTTTATTTAGAATTGAACGTAGTTCAATAATTTGTACTTAAAAAATTCAAAATTGTAATATACAAAAAGTCAAACAGATTTTTACATTGAGAAGATAGTATAACTAGCGCCCTCTAGACGTGACCCCAACATTGTTTGCATATTCGTATTTGGCTCCTTAAGAAACGTAAAACTACAAATTTTCAAAACAATGGGTCCATACATACTTAAAATATAGACAAAAAAGGAAAATACTTTTTCAACTTTGACACCCTGTAGAACGAAAAGGAGCAATAATTGATTAAGGCATGTTTGGCTTAATCACTATATTTTGACGTTAACAATATGCCATTAAGCTGTGTACCATTATTAATGACTCACCTTGTATATTTAAAAACGCCTATAGTAATTTATAAATATCACATAATTAAAAATATTAAATCATGCTGATAATGAGATAAACTGAAAATTTTCTTATGCAAAATACTACCTACCTTATTAAGAATTGAAAATAATTATCAAGAAATAAGTGCAACATACTTAAGGGGTAATTTTGCAATGGTACTACTTTTGAAAACTCAATATCAACGGTGTTACATAACGTATAAATATTTTGCTACAACTTATTCAGTTTAAAATTTGTCTTGACAACAAAATCATCACCATTGTGAAGCCCAAAAAACTTAAATTGATTATTGATTAAAAAATTGATTACAACTTCTCTATTTGTGATTTTCAAAAAATCAAGTAACTTAATGTGGAAGATTGTTTGAAAATCGTACAAAAAGGTAGGTACTTTAATTCCAAATTGATATTTACTTACGCACTTATTGTTTTGAGATAAGACCTATTTTTGAAAAGTCTTGTTATATGTATATGAAAGTATAGAAGCAGATGACCAAACACTTCAGAAAAAGAACGAAAATGTCCAAAGCAATTTTTTAAACAAATTTTTATTGAAATTATACATATAATTGTTATACAAATTGAAATTAGATCCAGTTGTTTAGAATAATTTAAATTTTTTTAAGCTTTGAAATTTGAGCATTTGAAACATTTTCTATTTATTGCAAAAAATTTGCTCAAAATTTACTAGATGATTTATTGCTACAGTGTCCATTTCTTGATCCAGTTCAGTTAAAAAGTGAATTAAGTGTTGTTTATAACGACTGTTGCTCAGTGAGACACTCCTATAAATAAATTTTATGTTCAAACCTGATGTACATGTATGTTAAAATTTTAAAACTAATCACAATTTGTGTCACTTTGCCCTTAACATCTATCACGATCGAAAGAAGTTTTCAATGAGAATGGACGCTCGTGAAATGCCTAAATCATACTCTGCGGCGGAGAATTCTGTATGAACATTAAAATAGGCTAGCACATTTATTACATTATCTTCATTTGAAGTTATTGGTTTTGGTAAAATTCTTTCTGCACAAATTCGACCATACTCTAGTTGATTTGCTACTTAACTTTTTTCTGCTCATTGGTGACAAATTTGGATATGTGTAAAAACTGTACATAATTCTGCTTATAATCCCATTGCAACGTAAATTTAAAATATCAGCATTTGAATATGTATTGTTTTCCATTTCTTATAAACACTAAATTGAACTGTCACTGCAAGAGACTAACAACAAATTGACAGTTTAGTTGTTTGTTTTGAAATTTTGTTAAAAATTCCACAGCAAGAAATTACATGATTTTAGGTGATTACACAAAGAATAGTAGATAACTTAAAAACTAGAAGAGATAGGTATAGGGAACCTTAATACCGTTCGAAAGAGAATAAAATTGTGTATCAAAATATAGAAAAACATACAGGGTGTTCCATAAAAAAAATCGACTTATGAAGGTTTGAAGTTAACTAAACTCGGCATTAAATTTCTAGCACCCTGTATGCAATTATGGCACTTTGAAAGTATTGATGGGAAGCTTGGGGGTCAAGCTATTACCCCTATAAATATTGTTGCTTTATCTTTCTTACTATAAAATACACATGGTTTGAAGCTAGTCACTGTTTCTCTCCATTTATTTGAAAAAATTAAAAATCTCGGAAACGGTTAATTTTAGGAATAGGGAAACTTCATAAGTCCACCTAAAATAACTCCTAGAATCCAAAATTGCAATAATATATAGGGTGTTCCATAAGCAAGTTGATGGAGACTTCCGGTATAACCGGAAGTGGTACGTGGACGCCATTATTTTAGTTGCGAAGGGCATGCCCAAAAACCCGGTATCTCAAATTTTCAAAATTCAAATCGAAGTAGTCTCTGAAATAATTCTAATGGGCCGTCACCGTGAGACACCCTGTATGTATTTATTTCATTCTGCTACATTTTTTCTAGAATTTTGTAAATGTTACTATTATAAAATAGTATATTTTTTGAAAATACATTATTTTATTATTTTTGGTAAACGAAATTTTTAAATATAAATTGTAACAGTAAATCCGTTAGCAGAACTTTATTGGCTTAATCTTTTCATGAGATTCTATCTCAACAAATATCGTACTGATTGTACCTAATTTTTTGAACTTACTTCGGGAACATCTTGTATCAGTATTATCATAAAGCACGGCCGACTCTAAACAGTTACATAAAAGATTTAATTTTCACAAAATAATTGTAAATAATCATTACATATCTAAAATTATATAATTAAAAAAAAAACAGAATTAAAATAGAGTTACGTTTGTTATATACATACATTGCTAATAATTACATTTTAAAAAAAAATTAAAGTGTAACTACCATTATTACGCTTCTTCTAAATCAATTTGTAGTCCCTGAACAGCTGGTCTTTTTAAATTTTGGAGAATGTCTTGAATTTCTTGTAGACTCTTCCCTTTCGTTTCGATAACATAAAAGATAGTGAAAGGTATGCATATTATGCAGAAGCCGGCGAATATCCAGAATGCAATACCTAACCAAACGTTATCAGTCGCACTAGGAAAGTACTTCGCTATAAAGAAACCGAGAAACCAAGTAATTGAAGTAGCTAAAGAAGAGGCCTTAAACTTAACGCTATCCGGGAATAGCTCACCCATCATGGACCAGGGCAGTATTGCCAAACCTGTATTGAACATAATAATGTACATTACAAGGCACAATATCGGTATAAATCCTACATCTTCAACATGGTATCCTTTTATGTGCATGTAACAGTAAATCCCAAGTGGAACTTCAGATATTATTATTCCTACAGCAGATACAATAAGTAACACTTTTCTACCAACACGGTCGACCACCAAAGGAGTTGTAAAACTAGTTAAAAACTGTGTAGCACCTACGATAATCGAACAAACTTTAGGATGTAAGTTTGTGGTGGCATATGTGAAGATACCTTCGACGTAAAACAATACCGCATTGATCCCGGAAAACTGTTGGAAACCTAAAAGGCAGACACAAATTAAAAAACCCTTCCTCAACCCTTTGTGCTTGAAAATATCTAGGAAGGATCCACTTTGAGATTCCTTCACTTTCTCTACCATTTCCATCAGTTCTTCGTTTATTACTTCTTCACTGCCTTTTCTGATTTTTTTCAACGCCATCTCAGCTTGATCAAGCTTCCCTTTTATAACATAGTAGTGAGGGCTTTCTTCGGCTATTATAAAGAATAGCACTATGAATGTAGCGGGAAATATAGATAAAATCAAATTGAACACGAAGAAACTGAGGTACGAACCGGCAAAGTGAGAAAAGAAGAATCCAAAGCAGATGTAGCAATTCAAGGATGTACCGAGTGCTCCTCTATTGGAAACCTCAGCCACCTCCCCTATATATATAGGTACCACCGTAAAGACACCCCCTACTGACATTCCCATCAGGAATCGAGCGACGTAGAATATCCAAGGATATAGCACGAAAGAAAAGACAAGAAAGCCTATCAGGAAGGGTACCGCACATACGAGCAAGGTCGGTTTTCTTCCTATCTTATCTGCCAATATTCCGAAGACGAAGGGTCCGACTATAGCCCCCAGGGCTAACAATGACGAAATCCATGACGTTTGTTCTGACGTTAGCGGGTAGCCAAATGGAGCATCTGTGGGATGTTCTAAATCCAACTGCACTGGCGACGACCATGTCAGTACCGTTCCAGCGATAAAACCTATTATGTTTCCTGAAAACAAATTTAGGATAGTCTTTTATACAGAGTGTGACAGCAAGACAAACTTATGTGACTGAACAATTACGTTAATGATATCATTTCAAAAATTGCTAACCATAGTAATAATGAAAAGCAACAGGGAGCTTAGTGAGGACTATGTGAATATTTATCGTTTAAATCCATGTATTGAGATACTAAATCCAAACATTATACTGATAAGAAGCGTCATGATTCTTAAGAATCAATAATGTTTCAGTGTGTGTGTGTGTGTGTGTATAAGCTGATACATGTGTCAAATTTAATAATATTGAAGTCGAGTCGATACTTTCCCTTAACCATTCAACTCTAAGACCTGGATGTGATACACTGCTTTTTGATTAATTACACTAAAGATTTCAAATGTCAGAATTACAAGAGGTCTGAATTGTTGCAACTGACAATGTGATATTTTTCTCTGAAGCCGAAATGATATTTTCGGCTATAAAAATTCATTATTAACGAACTAACGAACCTAAAAACCCCTACATACCAAAGTTTTTCATGATTCTATTCAATTTGGCCACAATCGTTAATAGATACAATGATCGACAAAAAATACGTTTTTTTTCTAATTTTTATTTTGTTTACACATTTTCAATAGCTTTTCACAAATTCACAAAACGATCACAAACAAATATATTGTAATTTCAACAGGAAAATGTCTGTCGGGTCAGCTACTTTTAAATATACAGGTTCGGAAAGTCCCAATGGTACATCGGCCGTTACGTGAGAGCGATAAAGTGAGTCATAGAAATAAGTGCGATAGACAAGGATGGTAAAATTGAAGACGCTTCATAATCTGAATAGTCACTCCCACTTCTAACCCAAAACGGGCGGTGACTATTCAGATTATGAAACGTCTTCACTATAGCCATCCTTGTCTATCGCACGGATTTCTTTACTTTACTTTGTCGCTCTCATGTAAAGACAGATGGACTATGTGGATTTTCCAGTCCTGTATATTTTCAATAGTTCTTGAATGAAAATCTGTGTATAACATCTAAATTTTCAATATACCTGAAACCTTTTAGTAACGTTTTAACGTTGTTTACATCATGACAAGAGGTACCAGTCCCAATAGTTTGTCTCGATATTGCTGTTACATCCTGTATAAAATTAAACAAAAGTAGTTACGATTTCATATTAAAAATAAAGTTAACTTGGTGAAACTTGATTAACTAATCTGACTTTTATGTTAGTAACTAAACTATTTGAAATGCATAATACAGGCACATAAAATAGTTGTCTATTCTACGGAAACCGAATCTGCTGTGGAAAATACTCATCATCTTTCAGTTTTTATTTTTAACTAAAACCTAGAAAGTAGTCAAAAAGACTTTTGGGTATTCCCCTTAAGCATATTGTGAACATTAGACAAAGATCCTATCTGTAATCATGGTATACCTGAAAGCAGTGTCGAAAAAATCGGCAATTATAAAACTATACCTAAAAGTTAGTAAATCAGTGCAATGGATTGAATATCCTATTTTTTTTTTCAAGATTTCCATCAAGAACTGTAAGGTTACAGGACTGGCTTTGTTTTCACATGTCCAAGATGTGCCTGCCGTTTTGTGTGAGTGAATTATTCTATTTATTTGTGGGTTAGGTACATTATTATACAATATGTCCCATAATGAATTGTACATAGAGTAACAGGTGATTTGTGACGTCGTAATAATGTGATTTGGCCAAATTTATCTTAGTCCAAAAGTTGATAGTAACCAAGTTATAGGGTTTCAAAATGAAAATTTTGTTTTAAATTTTTTTAAATAACCATCGAAGTAATTGATATATTTAAACGAAATTTGATATCCCGGCGTTAACATGAAAAATTCACAGTTCCTCATAATTCTGGCGTACATTCTAGAGGGCGCCACTTACGCAGACTGTTTGAACTTTTGTAGTTCAAAAACTTTTTGCTATATACTGTATCTTATTGAAAAGGTAACATCACTAGGAATTACCGCTCTCGAGATAGATGTAGATGCACTATGTCACACTAGTCCTGCAAATAAAAACAAACAATACAGGGTGTATCTAAATAACACCGAAAAAATTCAAGGGGCGATTCTCCGATGAAAATTAATAGGGGTCTTTGGTATAAAATTTTTTGAAAAAACCCTCCCCTGAAAAGTTACGCCCCTCCTAAAATTACAAAAAAAAATTGTTTTTCTTTTTTATCTTCCACGTACATCAAGCTAAAGAAACCAAACTTGGTGAACATTATCTGTCAATAAAACTACACTTTTTGAATTTTTTTCAACCCTGAACTATTTTTGTAAGGGGTTGAAATAATCAACCCCTATGACATTTTTTCTTATAATTTTTTTTTCGATAAAATTTTTTCCTTTTAAAAAATATGTCTAAAAAACCCCATTCATTTACTAACTTTTTGATCTCTTCAAGTTTCTTCGAAAAGTTAAGGATTTATGACAAAAAAAAATAAATGTATTGTAATGTATTTTTAAAAAGATGAGCTGTTTAACGCGAGTGTATTTTGCCGAAAGATCTAGTGGCCTGTTCTTTACAATGGAATCCGTAGAAACAAATGTCAATGTCATTTATTGTCATATTAAATAACATTTTATTAAAAAACACTCAACCAAATAGTTGACCTATGATTCTACTAGGCTAAGAAGTTTGGAACTTAGACTAAAAGTGAACAAATGATGAATAATGTTATAACAGTAACAAAAAATAAAAATCTGTCGGATATTGACAATACAATCTACAAAAAATGTTGAAAATGATTGCCTTCAGCTTCAATACAAGCATCTACTCTTGTTCTCATAGAATTGCGTATGCGTTCAAATATTCCTGGTGAATTTTTTATCGTTTCACACCCTGCTACAATGCGGTTTCGCAAATCATTGATATCTTCAACTGGCCTTGAGTAGATCAAAGATTTCAGATATCCCCATATGCAAAAATCCAAAGGATTAAGGTCAGGGGAGCGGGCTGGCCAATTTACATATCCTCCTCGACCTATCCATCGATTGGCATACACCTCATCCAAGTGACGTCTTGCACGTATACTAAAGTGGGCTGGTGCACCGTCGTGCATAAACCATAAACGTTGCCTAATTTGAATGGGAACTTCTTCAAGAATAATAGGTAATTCTTCGAGAAGATGACAATATGAGTCACCATCTAATCGTCGTGGAAGAAAATAGGGACCAATTAAATGATCGTCGATAATTCCGAGCCACACATTTAATGAAAATTGATACTGATGATTTCCTTCAAAAAAGTCATGAGGATTTTCCTCAGCCCAAATATGATTGTTACGAAAATTTCTAATACAGTCTCTTGAGAAATTCGCCTCGTCAGTAAATAAAATATTTCTTAAGAACTGCGGCGCTTGGCCGATCATATTAATAAGCCATTGACAAAAAACCACACGTGGTAAAAAATCTCGAATCAGTAACGACTGCACCCGTTGGAGATGATAGGGATATAACTGTTGTTCTTTTAAAATTCTAAAAACTACCGAATGGCTTACATTTAGGACACGAGCTATTTTCCTGGTACTAGTTTCTGGGGATTCCTCAATTAAATTAAGTACGGCTTCATCGACAGCTTCAGTTCTAACTTCTCGGCTACGGCCACAGTCATGACTTCTCTTTTCAAATTTTCCAAGTTCCCGCAAGCGTTGGTGAATATTTGTGAACGTAGTATGGTGGGGTAATCTACGCTCTGGGTACTGTTCAGCATAAAGTCTTTGCGCTTCCAATGCATTACCGTTAGCATACCCATATGTAAAATGCATATCTGCCATTTCTAAATTCGAATAGTTAACCATATTTTCGGTTTATTAACTAATATTTTCTACACAAAATCATGAAACTTGTGAAATAGTAAGAAACAGTAACAATAAATGACATTGACATTTGTTTCTACGGATTCCATTGTAAAGAACAGGCCACTAGATCTTTCGGCAAAATACACTCGCGTTAAACAGCTCATCTTTTTAAAAATACATTACAATACATTTATTTTTTTTTGTCATAAATCCTTAACTTTTCGAAGAAACTTGAAGAGATCAAAAAGTTAGTAAATGAATGGGGTTTTTTAGACATATTTTTTAAAAGGAAAAAATTTTATCGAAAAAAAAATTATAAGAAAAAATGTCATAGGGGTTGATTATTTCAACCCCTTACAAAAATAGTTCAGGGTTGAAAAAAATTCAAAAAGTGTAGTTTTATTGACAGATAATGTTCACCAAGTTTGGTTTCTTTAGCTTGATGTACGTGGAAGATAAAAAAGAAAAACAATTTTTTTTTGTAATTTTAGGAGGGGCGTAACTTTTCAGGGGAGGGTTTTTTCAAAAAATTTTATACCAAAGACCCCTATTAATTTTCATCGGACAATCACCACTTGAATTTTTTCGGTGTTATTTAGATACACCCTGTATAAAGCACTTTCAAAACTGCCCAACTTATCATTTAATTAGTGTTAGAATTTAGATTACTTTTGAGTTTCTAGAAGGTTTTTCTTTCATATTCATTTGACACCCTATAACTAACGTATAACCTATCAACTTTTAGACTAAGGTAAGATTGGCCAGGTCACATTATTATGACGTCACAAATCACTTGTTACTCTATATACAATTCATTATGGGACATCCTGTATATCAAATAACCTCACGTCACTCACTTGGCTGCTGTATCGGATACGTAAATCTTGCTGTCTCCCTGCTATGAATTCATGATTTGAGTATGTGACTTTTTAGAATGGATTTTAGAGGTGATTTTCTGGTGTTCACGTGAAGCTTACAGATCGCAACGTTAATTAATTTTTTGAATACACAAAATGCAATGAGCTTCGCGAATACGACGACTCATTTCTGTGTCTGTGCTCAAGGAGAAATCCGGAGTTTGACAGCTTTTTAAGCCTTAAGAGTGGTTTTAATTTTCTTTGGTTATAGCAGATTCGGTTTCAGTGTGTTCAAATACAAAGTTTCACATGGATTACATTTGTGTGTGCTTGTGCAATCAGTCTAGATGTATGATAAACCTTAACTCACAGTAGTACCGGCACAATAGTAGCAATGTGAAATATAACAATACAATCGTTTGATGTCGTAGCTTATATATTCAACGCTGTTAGCGCATACAGGATTAGTCAAAAGTATGGATACCCCCAAAAATCTCAGCGGGAAAACATTTTTGGGATAAATGGTTAGGACAAAAGTCTCAGCACTTTTCACGGCGTATGATAACTTTGAATTTTTGGGGGTTTCCATACTTTTGATTAACCTTATACAGGGTGATTCACAATTTATCCAAAAAAATTTGGGAATAGAGAAATGGAGTCAATACCGTAAAAATTTTTTTGTAAAATCCTTATAGTGACCCAGAAAAAAATAATTATTGATGTTGGAGTACTTTGAACCATTACGTAGCTGGACAACTGTAGTCTCTAGCGTCATTCGCAATACCCGTGGAGAGCCACGTGGCCTTAGCACCTCCGAATATTAAAATCGTTGTTGCGATACTGTTTACAAAAGTTTTTTAGTAGTTAGTGTCAAAAATGGTTTGCATGTATAACAACTCGGAGTTGATGAACATCGTTTTAATTTATGGTGAAGCAAGACAACATTTGTGTTATGGTGAAGTATTTGTATTATAGTGAAGCAAGAACACAACATTTGTTCGTAGAAACTGAGCAAGACGGACCCAAATGTGGTTACACGACGGTGGACAGGATACTATAAAATTCTATTTTTTTCTTTCCTTGCGAAATTCTTTCAAGTTTTTGTCCGTTTTTATCACACTGCCGCCATGCCGGTCGCATTGTGCGATGTCAGGTTTTACAGTCGACCAGTTTCCAGTGCCTCTCGGTGTATTTTTAAATCATTTGTGAACTGCCTTTTTTGATTTCTTCTTTACAAAATTGTATTTGTAAGAGTCCCCTGTACATCCAAATTTTTTTTTTTTGGATAAGTTCTGAATCACCCTATATATTTACATATGTACAATCGGCGCCACCCAAATGTTAACGGCAATATTGTACCGTGTAATTTAAACTTCAAATCATAGTCATCATAAAATTCAATAGTTGTCAAACATATATGTCACTTAGAGCAAACATAATGAAATGTAAACAAGTAACGTGATATATGCCGGAGCATTTAACTGAGGCGCAAAGAGGAAGGGCTATAGCTAAATTAGAAAATAATTGGTCTTTGAGTCAAGTGGCTGCTGATTTAAATGTCAGTAAGAGTGTATATTTTATATTAAACAACGCTGGCAAGAAGAACAAAAATTACAAAGACCTATCAGGCAAGGTATGGGGAAGTTTTCCAGTGGCGCAGAAGACAATGCATGGGTCGAATTTATCCATCATAATATCCTCTCTGTGTTACGCCACTAAAACAAGTCTGATTTACTACGATAAAATCCAGATGAAATTTCAAATTACAATCAAAATCCGTTCACATTTGGGTGGCGCCAACTGTACTATTTAACTTTATTACAAGCTCCGAAGAATCCTATATTAAACACATTAGAATATTTACATTATTTATATGCTTACCTACTAAAACATCAATGATGTAGCCCATTTTCTAAATTTGTTGTGTTTGCTAATTGCTTTTATTAACGTATCAAATATATATATTTATGTCCTTCGTGATCTAAGTCATAATAATAAGATATAATATATAGCAATTTCATTTAACTGTGAGCGTTCCCATTTTCTTAATTGACGTAAAAAATAACAAAACAAGTTGACATTTCGTTCATTGAAATAGTTATTTACACTATACAGGAGGTAAGTATTATTTACCAGTCGAGGACGATTTTGCGCCCGAGCGGAGCGAGGGCTGGCAATAAAGTCCGAGACTGGTAAATTATACTTAACTGCTGCGTGGTGTATAATAACATTTTATCTGCTCCCACAGTTCTTTATGGTTCATGAAATAAAGATTAGGTTTTATTTTTTGTCATTTCTTAGTCAATTCATTTTGACATTATTCGAAATCTTGCAAAGTCGCCTTGGTTGTTTGGATTTTGTCGTTTCTAAGGTATTTATAAACAAAGCTACATAAAAGTTGCAATTTTACTGGTTTTAAATTATTATTTCTAAATGAGTGATTTTCAAATAGAAAGTGCAGCAAATGCTGCCTGCGAATTTTTATTGCCCGAGAAGTCGAAAGTGCGCTGCTTACGAGCATATAGAAATTACAAAGAATGGTGCCAGGATAAAAATGCTGGTGTTTCTGAAATTTTAACGTTTAAAATTACTTCTCGTCTGGGTTCTGTTTCTCACCTAGAAATTCTCAAGAAATATATCAAGATTAGATTGGAAATTAAAACTGAAATTTCACGCTTTTTTATGCGCTATCAAGCAGGTAGATGTTACAACCAACCAGTTGGCAAGAATACCCTTTCTATGATTCCTAATAAGATTGCATAGTTTTTGAAACTAGAACATCCTGAAACATAGACAGGCCATTCATTTCGAAGTACATCGGCAACGTTATTGGCTAATACAGAAGTTGATGTATTATCAATCAAGAGACATGGTAACAAAAATGAGATAGCCAACAGGATTCTTTACAATGAAACTTCAACTCCAGGTTCTAGTAGTACGTCGCATCATGCTGTTTTAATGGATCAGTCAGATAATATTGAGCCTCTGGTGAAAAATGTGACAATTAGTAAACGCGGGGGGAATAATTATCCAGATTTTATATATGTTACTAAATGTAATAACTGTACAATTACTATAAATATTAACTCATAATAATTAATAAAATGTAATGTTCATCAAATATTTCTATTTATTTGTTCATAAAATATGCATTTATAACTCGAATTCGCTTTTTCCCTAGGTAGGTAAGTTACCTCACTTACCTCACGTTGTCCATAGCAACTTCCACTTTTACGCTAAAATCCACTTACACTCTTTAAAAACAACGCATCAATAGTCTATTTATTATAGTGGGAGCAGATAAAGATAAATTAATAATCAGGATAGTAGTAGAAGGCGCTCCTGCAAAAGTAAACTTAAAATTCCTAGACTGATAAAGTACCTCATTGAATTACCATTTTGGATATTAGACATAAAGGACAAGAGGCCGTTCGCGGTCGGGGGCAACATCTAGGTCGGGGGCAGATCTAAGAAAGCATACCTTAAAAAGAGGCGAATTGTTATTTAAACTGTTATAATGGGATAATATATGTATAAATTTGAATTTTTTATACATTTTTTATACAAAATGTAAGCAATACAAATTTAATATGCATGTGATTAAAACCATGTTTAAAAGAAAGTCCAACAATTATTGTTAAAGTCTTTATTTTATTCAAACTCACGGAACTGCAGCTCATCTCGTAATATGCTTTGCGATACTTCTAAAGTTTTAGCTATGTGTTCTTGATTATGACTTGAAATAGAATTGGTTAATTTTAAACATTCGATTGGTTATTCTTTGCCAAGGAAGATACCTACTATTGGTTAATTTAAAGATTTTAGGTAATCTTAAAAACTTTAAATCTAGCGATGCTTAAAAGCCAATGGATACAGCGACTTGTAAACAGTTCAGCCGATAGAATGATTTTAAATTCCTGCTCTGTATCGCGTTAACTTTCAAAACATGAAATTTTATCGTTATAAGTTTGCCACACTTTGCGACGTTGTCCAGGCACTGAATTAGAATCATTAAAATTAATTGATCGATGCAGGGAGACTAGATAAGGAGCACGAACTCATACGGGAAAATTGACAAAATTTGTCCAAGAAATGGCAGAAGTTGGGGTGGCGCTAGTGTTCCATGTGACCCAAGTGAATGTAGCATAATAAGTACGAGTGAAGTAAGCAAATAACCAATTTTATTTATAAATGAGTTTAGTAAATATATCGGGGAGGTATGCTAACCTAAAAACTAGTAGTCAAGTCAATAATTATTACAATTTGTTTTTATAATGGTAAATAAAAAGTTTCGAAAATAATTTAAATATGATAATATGGTATGTGAAGTGAATGACTGTTAACAAATTTAAAATAAAACTACGTTTGTGATCTGCATTTTCAATCGAATGATGTCCAGCAGTTCTATATTACAACTTGATCGAATAGTGGGTTAATATTATCGCAAAAGGTTGAATAATTCGGAAGTTGGAAGCAGCTTCTTTGATTCTCAATAAGGTAGCGAAATTTTTAAATAGAAAGATTTCATAAGTGAAAATTTTGTATAATTGAACGATGCATTGTTTCTTTATATATCTTGCAACAGCATCAACAGCAAGAGCATCCGCTACACCAGCAACAACAGGTGCAGTAGTTACAACAAGAGCAACAGTTTTAACAACAACAACAAAAACAGCAAATAAATCAAGAGCAATAAAGTTACGATGAAATTATACTAGAAAGTGAGCATCCTGTCCTGTATAATCTAATAAATTGAAAAGTTCTGTTGGCGTGTGATGAGGTCTCGACAAAGCAACGATGAATATGTTCCAAGCATAATATTGACAATAGCAACAAAGTATACTTTATTTATTTCTACATATCGTAATTTATATTACATGCATTAAATTCGTATCTTTCATATAATTCTTGCTGGTGATATCGTTATTATCATTACTGAATTGAATAAATCATTTCCAATTAATTGCTGTTTCTTTCCTGTTAGTAAAAAACTGATAGAAATTCAGATATCATATAAAATTTAAAGAGAGGATACGTGTAGTAATCGATGCTGATCGATCTGTATTGGTAATTAACTACTTTTACTAAATATTAACATGGAAATCAACTTCTTCATGAACAAAATGAAATTTTAAGAAGAAAAAGAAGATAGACTGACAAGTATTACTTATTTTTAAGAAGAGTTCCTGTTTTATTTGTAATATATATTTACTTTGTTACTTGTTTGTTATGAATAAATATTTATTTTTATTTTAATTAGGTACAAATAATTTCGTTTTTTGATTCACTTAATAAAACATTTAAATCTTTGGTAGATAAACATTTTGTTTTTCAAATATAAAACATTGATGAAATATTTCTTTAATACCTTATTAATTTTGGTCTATACTCTACCTTGGAATAAGTCATGGAACCATATGTTACGTTCGAATTAAATCAACAATTTTACGAAAGTAGAATTAAATTTTACAGCAATTTTAAAACATATACCCAGAAAACTAATCGATTTTAAACAGTTATAAAATATTTAGATTACTTATTTTTTGTGACCTTTATAATGGAGTATATTTTGTTAAAATTTACTCTTTCTGTTTCTTAGAGTAAATCTATTTCATCATCACTCAAGCTGGACAATGCGTCTAATAAGATCCGAATCACTTGACTCAAAATCGGACATCTGTATTAATATTTTAAAAAGTTTATTTAAAACACCGAGTTATTTTTATATTCTATTTTTTATTACCACAAGTAAAAATTCCATATTAATAATACAAGAATTACTATTTTTTTAAAGGGAACTTCCTGTATAAAATGTGACTATTTTTTACTTACATTAAACTAAAATCGTAACGAAGTAATTATCAAAAACATAAACCTTACTTATAGGTTAATATTAACAGGATCACGTCATAAACTCCTTGAAAACTAGTTTCTTTCTACGAACACCAAATTCTTCTCATAAAGCTAATATTTTTTATTATCTATTTAGTTTAATTACAGTCCGGAATGACATATTTTCATTATTTATATAATTCAAAATAGCTTACATTATTTATTTTAAAATTTTTTACACATCACAAAAATGACATGATTGATTTATAATTCAAACTGACGCTTTTTATCCCCCTGTCTACATATGGGACATATGGAACACTAGCGCCCTCTTATTTTTGTAAGATTTTTGTTTATATGGAGTTCGGGCTCCTTGTGTAGTCTCCATGGATCGATAGTTGACAGGAATTTGACGTTTTCGTTACTTTCGACAGCAGCTCCGTGTCATTTTTGTAAATTGGAATCGATTGAAGGCATATCAAATAGTATACCTATTATGTACCAAGATGGAAAGTGTTTCATTCTTGTCGAGAGGAAAGGATGAACCATTTCTTGAGAGAAGAATGAAACTTTTCACCGAGGTTTCTATACTATTTTATTTACCATAGAAACTACGCAAGGAGCACGAACTCCATGCAAACAAATGTCTTACCAAATTAGAAGGCGCCAGTGTCCCATATAAAAACACACTCAATTATGCCGTTTTTGTGATAAGTTAAAAATTTTAAAATAATTAATGTAGGCTTCCTTGAAGAAAACTAAATCAATAAATAATGAAAATATGTTGGTGTACAAGGAATAGTAGCGACCCTAGCGGTAAAAACTATAAGTAATTTCTACTATTACATTGACAAATTTTGTTCGACCTGTACGAAAAAAAACACGTTTTTTCAAATGCTGCTATCAAAAAAGGGAGTGCCATTGAAAATACTCTAAGTAACGTTTCAATCTTTATATGCGCATTATATAAGACATATGTACTTTATCATAAAGTGCATTCTTATGTCACGTGAATTACTATCTGATCTATTAAATATTATCTGAGAAGGTTATTAAGTACTTTAAATGTAGAGATCC